GGGAGAAATGCTATGTCTAATAAAAGATTTTTTTTAAAGGCACAGGAGATATTTCCCTAATTTCTTAGGTTAAAATACTGGTGCAGGAAACATCTTCCTCAAGGATGGACAGAACACTCAAGAACAGATTCCCACAGGAATTAAGAGTTGCCACAGCTCTTTTATCTCCCAAAGTTCATATCACACCTCTTTGGCCTTGTTTTTGTTAATGCAAACACATGGCCCATAATATGTATATTGACAATACACATAATTTTATTAAAATAACACAATAGCGTTGTGCCTGTGATTCAACCAGGGTGAATGGACAAAGGAGAAAACACCACACCCAACCAAGGAAAGCAATCACATACCATGTACAGGTGTCTAAAATGAAATTAAGATAATATTTGCTCATATAATTCTGTTGGTTTTGACAGAGCAGGAAAATTAATATGTAAAATTTGCATATTATGCAATACTTTAGAAACATAAGTTGATCCAGTCAGGTTGAGCGAAGGACTTGTGAAAATTTTCCTTTGATTCCATGAATTGGATAAATTGCATAGGGAAAGAATCACAGCTGGCTTAGACAGACTGTAATATTTAATAGTCCTTGGTTATCACCACACTTCAAAACATGCATGCATTGCTAAGAAGAGTTGGTTGGTATAGCTTGAGAAGACAATGCTGAATCTCTTTCTTTTAGTCTGAGTTGTTTCTCCACTCTTCTATTTTAGTGCATTGTTCTTATGGTGATTAAAAAAATAATTAATATGAATTGGTTTTTTTTCTTAAACTGTCTATTCTGTCAAAGGTAGATAAATTACTAAGGCCTTGGTTAAAAGCAAGGCACCAACATGTACAACATGTACATTCAAGGCTATAGCTTTTTATTGCTTTCTAGTTTACATTTTTGTGGTATTACGTGCATCTACCACTTTTTGTAAGCCTACAGACTCCATTCTCCTTTTCATTTTCTAATATACAAGAAAAAAATGTTACAGTTCAAACCATTCTTCTTACATGGTATCAAAGTTTTGCAGAAAAGACTAGGCCTTAGAAACTAGTATTTTTAAATTGATGGGTGGACAATACACTCAGTGGAATAAAAATTCTACTCTGTAGAAGATTCTTAAATTAAAAAGCAAGTGGACATTTATAGTATCAGTAAACTATGATGTATCAGACTGTTTCTAATACAAGTTCAGCTTCATTCTTGCATTAGCTTGTGGCTTCTTTTCCCAGAAATATTTAATGTTTCAGTAGCAGTTTTAAAGATCCATACTCTCAAATGAAATGTAGCTTAGGTGTGATTCTTGTTTGTTGCTATCTTTAGCACCAGGATCCTCAAGGCAGTGTGTGGCTCAATGGGTAAAGTCTATGTGTGCTAACCAGGAGCTCAGAACACACACTGTCCTTAAAACTACCACCTGTGCTGAGATCTGCTGCTGCATTTTTTTTTTTTTTCATCCAGAAAGGGTAATTACTGAACAACTGTTTTGATGAGCAAGATTAATATGTTTATGAATTAAAAACTACTTTAAATTTTGTAATTGCTTTCCTGCTGGTGCAGGAATTATAATTTTCTCCTCTGGAGAAAATGATTAACTGAGAATTGCACTCAGCCTGTAAAATTCTCTACTATGAGCAGTTCCATGGAGGAGTCATTTATAGTAAAGTGTTAAACATGTATGTAAATGATTGCAAAAGATGAGCCTAGGATCATTTGTCTCTGAATGCACTTGTTTCTTTCAAACTAATTTGTGTAATGAAGGCTCAAAATTTAATTTACACATATATGTTCTTTTGATGTTGGTTTTTTCTGTAAGGTAATAATGTAATTTTATTTTAGCGTTCTTGTTTGACACTACTTTTCTTCTCTGGCTTATACAATCACCATCAATAGAACACGAGGAAATAGAAAATGGACCTCAAGTCCTGCCAAATTTCCACCAAGCAAGCTTGGTAACATTCTGAATTATCTAGGAATGTTAAAATATAATAAGTTTATAGTGCTTCTATTTACTTGCGAGTTGTTAAGATAGGTAGTTCATATTTTAAACTGATAAAAATGGAGAGGAAATTCAACACTTCTTGAAACGATTTTGGTATTTCATAAATCAAAAGTATATGCTTATTTTTCTCTCTTTCTTTTTTGCGTCTCTTCTTCTTTCCTTTTCATACGGGGTTTGGTTTTACAAATGCTGAATATAAAAAATTTGGCTTTTATTAAGTAGCATGCTGATTAGGGAAATGGAATCATAAGCTATACATCTATATTCATATGTATTAGTGCCCAACAGTCTATTCTTGTCATTCAAAATATTTTCAAAATTCAAATATTTGAACTTAGATATGTTTGGGGAATTGCTTAATGTTTAGGGGCATTACTGATTTGTTTTAAAGAATCATACATCTGTTAATATAAATTTCTGATATATGTTTCTTCTTATATTTAGCTGTATTCCTTACCAGTGCAGTCTGCAGGAGAAACAGACCAGACCTTTGATAAGAAATTTTATAAAAGCTATTATTTAGTGTTAATCATTGTGGGTCCTTTTCCTATTACTGTGTTTATTTTTGGAAATCTAATTAGCTGAGGAAATGTTGAGGAAATGTTTGGCTTAAGATAAAGTTGATACAATGTTCTAGGTATTTTGTAGATTTTGAAAAATAATTGCATATAATTAATTCTGTACTGAATTACCTGTCAGGGAGGACAAAAATGTTTTAAAAATATTTTTTACATTCATCTTTTGCACAAATTTTTTTTCTCTTTCCCTCAGAAGTTCAGAAAGAATCTCAAGCAGCAGAAAATAAATCTTGGCCTAAAGATGAGCTGTTAACATATAATAAGCAGGTGAAGCAGGTTTAGTACTATTGTGAGATGGTGTTGTTTTTCCCATGCTAGGGTTCTGATTCTTTATAGCAGAGGTCTGCAAGCTGTTTCCTTACCACCTGCTCTTTAAAAAAAGATTTTCTATAAAACAGGTCTTCATACTGGTCTTGCAGCTTAAGGTAAGAGGAAAAAACCAATTAAGGTTCAGTCGGTCAGATGTTGGGTTAGGCTTTTCTTTATGAGATTGGAAAGAAGATTATACATGGAACAATGTATAAATAGAATCCTAATCTACATTTAACAAGTGGATACCTTCCTAAAAAATAGTTTAATGCTCAATATCCTTTAAGTTTTGTGATATCTCACATGACAAAAACTGTCATTAGTATATCAATCCTATAAAGCTTAGAGTTTTCGGTAGAGAGCATGTATCAAGTGTATACAGACAGTAGGACACATTTGTTGCCAAGATGGAATAGTATCTTTTTTCATATGTTGTTAGTTTTTAGCATTCTAGTATTCCAAAACTATAACCAGACACTAAAATAAAACCCTAACTTAATAAAACCCTAACTTAATTCCTTCTGTAGCTTTCATGTAAATGATTACTTTGCCTTAAAATTGTTATTTACACTTATTGTGAAATAAATATCACTATTTATTATGCTGACAATATAATGAGAAGGACAATCAAGAATGGGATATGTTTCTACCAGGCAGTGTTATATGCAGAGGTACCAGATAGCTTTGGCCTAAACTTAAATAAATGAGATGAACACGGTTGGAAAAGCTACAGATGCAGGTGTTGAGAAGAAAGAGATAGAAGATCAGAATGAAAAGAGGACGAGACAGACACACATGGAATGCTTTTTGATGGCCCAATATTTTTGAGTTTGTTGTTTCAAGGTCTAGGTTTGAAGAAGAGGTCTAGTCAAAATGAGAAAACATCTGGATGTCTAAGGGCCTTGTTTCACCTGGTTTTTAGCTCCTTCCCCTGACTGTAGTTGGGCCCTGATTGTGTCTCCTCAAGCTGAATGGGAAAAAAGAGAGGTAGACACATGCCTAGATTTCCAGAGCATTAGCAGCCAACTTTCCTGGTCAGCCAAAAGCCGAAGACGCACACAGGTTATTCTGAAGAGTAAGAGACAGGGAATCTCTAGGAGTGAGTCACAGGGCGATGACAGAAATTCTCCATCAGTCCTTGCACTGCATTCTGCCATGGGCCTACACTGGACATGCTGTTGAGCCCTAAGTCACCTGAGCAGTTTCAACTGGCAGGCATTATTCTGCAGGGAAGGATTAATATTTCCTAGCAGCTTTTGTGGTAGCAAAATTAGTCCTGTTAAATGGGTTAGAATTCTGTTGAAGAAAATGGATGAAAAATAAATTATATTACTTAAAAAATTTTCTTAATTAGAAAAAAAAATCAATTGCATTTTGAAATTTTCCTTACAATATTTGTCTGTTTACATGTCAGAAATTTTTCCAGTACTTCCAGTAAGTCACATCCCTGAGTGCCACCTCTACATCTCTTTCAAATGTCTCCAAGAATGCCCCTTCCCTGGGCAGCCTGTTCCAAAGATTGACAAACCTATCTGTGAAGATATTTTTCCTAACATCCAATGTAAACTTCCCCTGGTGCTACCTGAGGCCATATCCTTTTGTCCTAATGCTTGTTACTTGGGAGAAGAGACTGACTCCCACCTCACTACAACCTCCTGTCAGGTAGCTGCAGAGAGTGATAAGGTCTCCTCTCAGCCCCATATCCCCAGAACAATCACCTCCAGCTCCCTCAGCCACTTGTCACAAGAGTTGTGCTCCAGATGGTTCATGAGCTCTGCTGTCCTTCTCTGGACATGCTTCAGGACCTCCAAGTCTTTCTTGCAGTAAGGGGCCCAGAACTTGAGGTGTGGTCCAGTGCAGGTGGACAATCACTACCCTGGTCCTGCTGGTCCCACTGGTATGGGCCAGGTGCCATTTGCCTTCTTGGCTACCTGGTCACACACTGGAACATGTCCTGCCACTGTTGACTGGCACCTCCAGGCCCTTTTCAACTGGGCAGATTTCTTGCTACTCTGCCCCTAGCCTCTAGCACTGCCAGGGGTTATTGTGACACAAGGGCAGGACTGTTGAGTGGAATTTAAGGCAATTTGCCTTATGGAACCTCATACAACTGATCTTGGCCCATTGATCCAGCTTGTCCAGATCTCTCTCTAAAACCTTCCTACTCCCAGGCAGATCACTCCTGGCCAACTTGGTGCTGTCTGAGAACTTGCTGAAGCTGTACTCTGTCCCCTCATCAAGATCATCAATAAAGATATTTAACAGGACTGACATCAATAGTGAGCCCAGGGGAACAGCACATGTGACAGGCCACCAGGTGTGTGCAACTCCAGTCACCTCCTCTCTCTGGGCTTGGTCATTAAGTCAGTTTTTAACCAGTGAAAATCATGTCCAAATCATGAGCAGCCAGTTTCTCCATGCGTGTGCTGTGGGAAATGGTGTCAAAAACTTGACTAAAGTCCAGGAGCACAACATTAACCACCTTTACTTCACACCAAACAGGACTTATTGTCACAGGAGATTAGATGAGTCAAACAGGACCTGCCTTTCACAAACCTGTGCTGGCTGAGCTTGATCCCCTGGTTGTATATGCCACATGATGGCATTTAAGGGGATTTTCTCCATGACCTTTCTGGGCACTGAGGCTGACAGGCCTGTAGTTCCCTGGATCCTCCTTCAGTCCCTTCTTGTAGAAAAGCATAACATTTACTACCTTTCAGTCAACTGGGATCTCCCTGATTAGCCAGGACTGCTGGTAAACGATTACAAGCTGCCTGGTGAGCACTTCCAACAATTCCCTCAGTACTTTTGGGTGGACCACATCTGTCTCCATAAACTTTTATGTGTCTAAGTGATGTATCAGGTCACTGATGTTGTCCCCTTGGATTATGGGGTCTTCATTTTTTCTTTCAGATTAGGAGGCTTGGTATCTGGAGAGGAAATAGTTTTACTGTCAGAGAGTGAGCCAAAAAAGGCATTAATAACAATGTTTGTAGGTAGTTTAAAGAGTATACTGTGCAACATCAGTTGATCTGCTGGTTGCTAATCTAAATATGCCAAATTATGTATTAAAAATACACATTACAGTGTTATTGATGGTAATTTTTACAATATTAAAGAATATAATAAGATTACTTATTAATTCTAAAGTATATGGTAGCATTTGACAACAAAACAGTTTCCTAGTCATTTAACAGTACTGGGATACTGTGATGATGTTTCTTAGAGAGTATTAAATATTGTGAGCAGCTTGGCATTTTGATAATATATGGATGCTATTGTTGTAACAACGCTCATCAATGTGTGATCTTAGAAGAGAAATTAATTTGCAATATTGGCACCTGACAAGATAACATACATTTGGTTGTATTTAACACAAGTACTACATAATTCAAATCTATTATTCAACATTAAAGTGCATGCTTTCACTTTTATACATAGAAAGATGAATGGGGAGAAATTTTTAGGTAAAAAAAAAAGAGAAATGGCTTTAAAAACTCATATCAACTAGCTAAATACTCTAATGCATCCTTGGCAGAATTATTTCTAAAGAAAACAATGCCAATGTACTATATATTAACATTGCTGTAGAAGACTATTAATTGGCATGTTGTGATGTATGATTTCAAAATTACTTTGCTTGGCGTGGTGGGCTGCAGAGGCCATGCAATTCAAGAAAAATTGATTAATTGTGTAGATGAACTTGCAAATTTGATTATATACAAAGCAGTCAGATGAAAAAATGAAGCTATTTGCTTTAGTCACTGTAATTTTATGTTACATTTGTAACTGAATTGCGTAAATATTTTCATTTAAAAGATTGTGTGAGAGTTCACTGGTGTTTCTAGACAGAAATAGAATAGAATATGAGATTATATAAATTTAAAGAGGTCATGTAATAGTAAGTGTGTTAGGTCATGTTCTCTGACTTTAGTTTCAAGGGAATTCCCCTCTCCTTAGTATAGCCTCCATTATTCATTAACAAGACAGTGCTGAAGTCCCCCTCCATGGTGTGTTTCATGAAACAGGTGAGATCAGAACTCTGAATCGCAATTTTAAAGTAACAGCTGCTGTAGTTTTAATTTTGGCTGTTTCAAATAGCTATATTGATGTCTAGAACATCAAAAGTTTTTGAGTATCTTCTGTTTCTTTGGATGTTACTTGCATGGCTTTTAAAAAAAATTATTTAGTATCTAGACATTTCAACTGGAAGTGGCAATGTGTCTAACTGAGTTTTTTTCCTTTAAATCTGACAAGAGATCATGATGGAAACTTATGTGACATTCAAATGAAAAGATCATAGTCTTATATTTGGTAGATTTTATTGATACATTTTCAGGTAAATATATTACTTTAAAGCTTTTCTGTAGTCTAGAATTTTGTTAGCTTATTCTGTCTGTGAAAAATTTTGATCAGTTTTCAGTTTCTCTGGTAAACATTAAATATCTGACTTTGTTCCTTTGTCTTTTTTTTCATGGATGTACTGACATAAATAATGTTGTTTGTTTCAAAAATAAACTGACAACATATGAAGCAATTTTAATTTTGAATAAGAATTTTCACAGGGTAGTGACTCATTTAGGTATCCTCTACTATTCTTAGTATCTTTTTACTTTGTTATTAATGTTCTTGTTTATTAAATATAAGCTTCCACAAGTTTTCTCTTCTAAGAACTTAAATACTGTTGAAGTTGTCAATAAATATAGCATTCAGTTATGTTCTAGGATTAATAAAGCTTGTGAATGGACAAAAATTAATAAAATTCTATAGTTTTATGATTCATTTAACCAGACATGTGGCTGAAATCTAAATTAGAAAGGCATAGAAATTATTTTTTGAAATAATTGGGTTCTTTGGGTTTCTATAGATTAAGATAGACAGCCTTCCCAGACTTGCAGAAGTAATTACCATGATGTAGCAGGAAGAGCTGGGCCCAAAAGTGGGCCTTCTTTTCATATTAAGATAGATATTTTTTTCAAAACAAAGCACTTCAAATTTAATTTTCCCCACTGTGTTGTTCTGTTTCTTTTTGATACTATGATTGTAATTCTTTATTTTCTTGAACCTGTTTTGTTACATATACAAGCTTTTAGGTGGAGTTCAGAAGAATCCTTTCCGTTGATGGCACTGCCAGTCAATTTTTAAGATATTTAAGATGTTGCAGGAAACAGAGCTCTAAAATCACTGAGGTTGGACTATACCTCTGGAGGTCATCACAACACCGCAAAAGCAGCACAAGGGTGTAGATTCTGAGGCTGAGTTTTGTGAAGCAGATGCAGACACTTTGGCAGCAGTGATGATTTCAATGGCTCCTTTTCCTTGCTGTTTGCTTTTGCTCCTGGATTACTATGAGCCGTCCTGGACAAAATTCCTTTGTGGGGTACTCTACAAAGAGAATCATTGATCTAGATTAATTTCTGTCTTTACAATTCTTTTTTATTATTATTTTTTCAACATGTACCTGTTATTTATTTTGCTGTGTGAGAAACCAGTTTTGGTGAAACTAAGCACAACTAATTAGGAATGAGCAGCTGTAGATGAAAACAGTAAGAATTCCTTACATATTCCTACTGGAGTTCCTTTATTTAATAAATGCAGCCATGAAGAAACTTTCAAAAAGTATTATCCTTTAACCATATGTATGTTTGAATTTGCTTAAAAACACAACAAAAAATGCAGATGTGTTCATAGTCTTCTGAGTTTAATAGTTCTGCATAATAATATAATTTTGATGCTTTTTTGATTATTCACAATTTAATATTTTTAAATACACCAATCTTATATACTTTTCAGAAAAAAAACCCCAATTTCTGTAGATAACACTGGAAAATTTGTTTTATTATTCTTTTCTGTTCATTCCTTGTACTGAATAGCTGTGGGCACTGCTGTGATATGTGTAGTGATGACATTTGTAAACCACCATATTTAAGTTTATTTGCATTTTTCTGATGGTCGGAGCTGTTTGTGTGCCATTGCTCCTTGTACTACTTCAGAGGGGTGTGAAAATATCCATGTAACTCAGCAGATGGTAATACTGTGTTTATCTGCTGTTCATGAACATTTTAGCTCCATTCTTGGATGTGCTTTCTTTCCATATATATATGGAAAGAAAAGCAATGTAAAAAATTAAACCAAACGAAGTTCAGAAAGAGCTACAAGAAGAGCATGAGTTGCAACAATCTTTGGCTCCTTAGGCTTCAAATGTCAAGTAATTTTTAAAACTAATTTCATTATTATAAAAAAATTACTGAAAATATATGAAGTTATTGGTGCATAGCAATATTGCCAAGTTTGGAGAAGAAATAATCCAATCCTTCAAGTTTGGATCTGAATACTTACAATTCCTGATCTAAATGATCAGATTTAGTTTGGTATCTCTAGTTTAATTCTCTGTTTATCTCCTTGAAATACTTGTGATATGGTTTTTAAAACCCATAGGAGCCATCCAGTCCTGTTATATGCAGATGAAACTTCTCTTGACTGCAGCAGAAACTGAAGTTGCTTATGTGGGGTTTGCATTTGTCCATACAATTCCAAGAATAATCTAATCAAAATAATTAAAAACAAACAATGGAAAATACCACAAATTTAATATAAGCAATGCCAGCTGTAAGTCATCATCTTTAAATAGAGAAGATGTATTAAAAATTCATTAACTTGAATTTGTATTACAGTCAGTGCTTGTCTGAAATTCAGGAGGTTTTACATGGAGAGCTGTAATTTAAGGACAACTGCTTATTACCTTGCTCTTGTCATAGGGTGCATCTCTCATTCTCTTGTAGGAGGGCAGATTACAAAAGCACTACAGACGGTGTCCTAATTTACCTGATCCTGTCCATCTCATGCCGAGTCAGACTCTTCAATTTTCTGGTCTCCACTGCTAATAAGATCTTTACAGATAGCTTTGTTTAGATGTATCATAGGTTACTTCTTTGCTTCCCTATAAGAAAAGAGGAAAAGAAAAAGAACCCTTATTTATTAGATTTTGTTGTTCTTAGGGTCCTGAAAGGTCTATTGGATACAGAAGAGAGCCTTTTTATGGCAGGCCTTAAGTTTGTAAATGGATAATACTTTCAATTAAGTAGCTGAGAACAGTCATGGGAAAAGAATGCTTACATTTATGAAACAGTCAAATTGGCATTTAAGTGACCCTTTGCATGCCATTGCTTATCTGCATTGCCTAAAGATCATTTGGTTAGCAAGATTATATATTAAAACAAATAGTGTCAACAGACAATGAGTGTTTTACCTTCAATAAATACTTACTGTCAGATTATCAATGGTGCAGAAACTGCACAATTTTCTAAAAAACCTGTATTTAGTGCTTTAAGTGAAGGTAATGTAGGCCACACACATAGTATTGTTTTTTCATGTCCCCTTTTCCAAAGAATGATAAATAGTCTGTTTTAGGAGAGTGTGTGCTGTAAAAACATTCACCTTTACCTGCAGCATGCCCCAAATATTTCAGTTTACATTGATAAAGCATTTGTTTAATTCATTCAATGAAACGTTAACTTCTACACAAGAGCAGCAATGGTAATGCAATTAAAATAGCATTCAAATTGGTTTTGGTTGTATTTATTTAAAGTAAATGCTAAAACTTAGAGGAAAAAAAAAATCCCAGAAGTTTAAAATTATTTTGTGAGCCATTGTTTACAGAAATCATTCTAAATGTTGTAAGTTCAAAGGTAATTTTTTTGACATCTTTATTTTTAAATTTTAACTGTGTGGTAATTACATTGTGGGGAAAGTGAACTGTGCTAGTGCATCCTAAACTACTACAAACACTTATGAAGATTATATACTTGCTATTGAGTTAAAAAAACAGTGGGAAATCTTTCTTTCTATTTTTAAATAATTATGATCTACTTATTAAAGCATTGATCTCTGATCTCACACACCAGAACAGTTATTCTATTATAAGTTATTCTCTTCTAGTCATGCTGCTAAACTGTTCAATTATTTTAAAAAAAATTCCTTTGCATCATATGGGGTTTCTATAACAATGCCTTAAATCCTAATCAATCTAATGAATTACATGACTGACTGGTTTTTCAAACTGGATATTTCATTTTTATGTTTAACTTTCACATTTTATTTCACAACCCTGATGCTATTTTCATTCAGGCGAGAAAGCCATTGATTTCAGTAGAGGCTTTGGATTGTAAAATCTGTGAAACTGTTGTACTGAAGCATCAGGTAACTAGGTACTTTTCTATCTATTAAAGCTGAATGACTTGAAAAAAATTATTTTGAGCAGTTTTAATTAAAATTAAGAGATTTATTCACAGTCCTTCCCGTGGGGTGGTCATGTGCCTATATATACTTCATGTTATAACTTTTTGATGATAAGTCAAAGTTCAACTATATTACACTGATTTTTTCTTTACATGTGTGACTCCTTTTCTTGCTGGGCTTTTTAATATAAGGAAATAGAAAATATTTTTCTGACATGAATACGTGTTGCATGATAAATCTTGTGGTTTTCGTTACTTCATTTTGTAATTGTTGCTGGTTTCCTTCTTATAATATCTGTTTATAGCATAAGGCATAGGTCTTTATAACAAAAAAAACAAGTTGTTGAAAGTATCATTGTCCCAGGAGGACCATGGAAAAATAGTAAAACCTGAAAACAGTTCAGTGTAATTTCAAAATGGAATTTCAACTTTTTAAGTCTGGGATCTGTCCTAAAATATAAAGGTACTTCTGATTTTTTTTTTTTTTTTTTTTTTTTTTTTTTTACATCTCAGGCATTTTTCATATACTGCTCTTTACATTGTAACTGTCTGGACATTAGACATTTATTAACTTTGTAGAGTCCATACAGTAGCCAGAGACTGTTTTTAGAATTTGATCCATGGCCTGTGGAAGTCAATAAACTTTCATCACCTTAAGTATAACTTAGATTGAAGAGTTGAATAGCAGAATTTTTCAGTTATTAACTTTTCAAAGACAGTCAAAGACCCCGTATTTCCTCTAAAATCAACAGCTGAATTGAAAATCTAGGAAGAAGTCCAAGTGATAGCATATAATAAAAATAATTCAAAATTTTTAATGTATTTACGAGGTACTCTGTCCTGAGAGAGTATTTAAAGATTAATGTATATTTAATGTTTTCACAGAACATTAATTCACATACCCAATTTAAGCTGTAAATCTGTGTTACTTGGTTTAAACTTTCAATGCAACAAAGGAAAGACCTTCTAAGCTGAGACAGGAAAATATTGACTACTGCACTTTTTTTTTTTTGTTGTTGGTTTAGATTTATTACTAATTATTTAGCTTTTACCTGTCTTTCTTTTCTACCTAATATGACCTCTACTTCAAATAAAAATTACCAGTCACTTTATACCAAGTTTTTTGTTTGCAGTTTATATATTATGGTCTGATGTATGTCATGATGCAATATTTGATCAAACAACATACATAAGAATCTAGAGAATAAGAATCTTGATTTATTTATTTTCATTTTTAGAGGTCAAAATTATCCAGGCATTCATCATCTATCTATTGAGTTTCTTACTTTCATATTGCCTCCTTATTTGCAACAGTTTTATAATGCTTTAGAGAGAAGAAGTCATATGTTATTTACAGCAGAGGACATGAAGGAGGAAGAACCTTAATTGATGGAGCCAGTTGAAAGAAAAAGGTATGAACTTACTTGTCTTCAGAGTTTCTATGATTTAATTACTTTATTAATGTATAGGATTACATGTTGGAAAATAATGTTCATGGTGTTTCAGGATTTTGTAATTTTAAAGTGGCAAAAAAAAATTTGAAAAATTTCCCTTGTTTGGTAGATGGGTCTTAAAATAAGTAGAAGGGTACTAAAAGACTTGTGTCTTGCTTAGAATGTAAAATGTACCGTTTGTTTTTAAAAATAAATTGCACTTTGTCGACATACAAGTTGTGTGCCACAATTTAGGTTATTAATATATTCTACTCACATGAGTTCCCATTGAAATGAGAAGAAATACTAAACAAATACAGTAGACTTTCTGTGAATGTAAAATTCTGCAGTAGTTAAGGGTTTAAAGTACACACGCACCAGCTCTTTATCACAGACAGAGTCTTACTTCAGTCCTGACTCTACAAACACTTAGGAACAAGCATAACTTTAACTAATTGAGTGTAGTTCTGTTGAGCTCCCACGTGCACACAATGAAGCACATATGGAACTGGGACCTAGATAAACTTGAATTCAAAATATTAATTGCATATATAATAGGTAGTCATGTGATAACTACAGAATGTTTAATGAATGAGGAGCTGAAGCAGAACAAAATGCACCATAGTTAATTTTTTTAAGGCTGAGATAATATGTAATAAGGGATCTGTCAAACAATTTGTTCTACAAAAAGTGATGAAACAGAAATTAATTTTGGCATAACCCTATCCCATTTTATCATGTGATTATATACCAAGTTCTATCTTTGATGGTGGTGCATTCCTAAATGTTTGTTTTTATTTTTAATGTGTTTTGCATTCAATGACGTGAATATGAATCAATATGAAGCATATTCTTGTTTTCATAGTTTATTACTTTTTTCTTTGTTCTGTCTTTTTTGTTTGTATACAGTATTATTAAAAAACTCAGAATTGGAGCCTTAATACTCTCAAGTTTTTCCTGATGGTTTTTGAGACTGGAAGTTTGCTACTTCAAGTTTCAGTGTATGACCAGCTCCAAAATTACCAAATTATTGCTAATAAAATCTGTAGTGACTAAAGAATGGTAGAGTGGTAAATAAGGATAAGGCTTAGTCAGTTTTACAGGGCAATTTGTGTAGCTTGTTAACTTGGGTTCTCTTGAAAAACACACAATTTAGTGCAGCCAAATGCAAGGTCATAAGGACAAGAATAGGGAATTAGGGTCATACTTTGTAGGAGGGGAGATTGTATCCTGAAAAACAGTAATTCTGAAAGGAGCTTTACAGTCTTGAAAGATAAGCAACAGAAGATGTCTCTGTAACAATCTCTGAACTTTAAATTAAACATGTTTATCTTAAATAAAGGCAGTGAGACATTACCAATAATATAGAAAAGAAGTTTTGGGATTAGAAAAATTATACAGAGCTTTTCTGCTCCAGGTAAGTGCTTTAATAAGTGAGCTAGTCAAGTCAGCACTTGTTTTCTCTCTTGGCTGCATGACTTTTGCATTCTTCTCTGCTCAACAACACAACTTCCTGTACCCAGAATGGTCAAATAATCTAGTGGTGAGTTTTGAATCCTCAGATAAGCAATGAATTCTCTTACCCTGACTCTATGTTTCAATAATATAATAAAGAGGATGAAATCACATCTCTGCCTTTTTTCCTCTTACAAAAGAAAGAAAAATCACTGTGCCCTTTCTTGAAAGAATGGATGCATCAGCCCCTGGAAGAGGACTCCATGGTTTGGATTTGAACTGGGGGGAAATATCTGTCTGCAGCTCCTGGAGGACCTAAGTTCTAGAGAGGGGCAGCTGATTTCCTGTTGACTTAATCTGCGATTCTCCTTCTATAGGAATGTTCTCAGGAATGTTGTGCACTTAATGCACTTAACAGAGCATTCAAATAGTGTTCCAGGGAAGCAAGCAGAGGTGTCAGTTCCTCTGTGTGTTCTCTCTATTTCTTAACTACCAGTTCTGTATTAAGGCTTAAAAGAGCATTATGCAGGTTTTACAGAGACAGAGAGAGAGACAGAGAGAGACTGAGTTGAGCTGAATATGTTATCTGTATGGCATATTTCCTGATGCAACAGGATTTGCTAAACAAGAACATAAGAGATCCAGTAGCTGAGGCTTCAGTCTAGGCAAATTAAGAGTAGCTGTAATATTTCAATGTATGGAAATGAAAGTAGCAGATTCCGCAGTGATCTGTTATTTACAGCCTTCATACCAAGACTAGATTCCTTTCTGAGGTATAACCTGAGCTTCATGCAGCCAGTTTTGAGCTCGGTGCATATATACTGATGAAATTTTATTATCTGTATTATTTAGAAGGTCATGTTTGCTTCTCTCTGCTTTTAAAATATGAATTCACAAATTGTTTTATGGAAGTTTTTAGTAATTGAAGTCTTCTGATGTAGTCAAGATTATCTTAAGCATCAAAGATGGCATTATTTCAGGGTACAGGATTAGGCCTTGATGTTTCCCTTTGGTTTTTGTGAGGTTCTGCTTTTGTCAGCAATTTGGGTACCATATAAATATAATTCATGGCCTTTGTTAGAATGTTTGCTTTTGATTCAGCAGCATTTTCTGTCTGCTAGACAGATATATTCAGAGAATATAAGGACTCCATGAGAATAAGGACTCTGCTCAGCATTGTAAACGGGTCTCAGCATACCAGTAACCTAGTCACTAATTATTTTGCAGGCCATGGTGGGACAGGAATTAAGGAAATTCTTGTGAGAATATATATCAATGGCTTTTGTGAGCATTTCTCAGCTGTGAGAGGCAGGATAAGGGTGGGCAAAAATGAGTTCAGAAAGGAATCCCCCAAACTTAAGAATTCACAGATGGACTTAGAAGTCACAAATATAGAAGTTATAATTTTACTGTTCTAGAGATGAAAACATTCCAAAAATGCTGTAAATGTTTTGAAAGCAAAGGAACATATTTTTTTAATATTTTTTTTTTCTTTCTGTTACTTCAAATAATGGGATAACTGTCCAAGGAATCACTATGATCCTTATGAAAGCACTTTGAATGACCATGAACACAGCAAGGTGATGTTTGTCTAGGCTAAAGAAACTGATGCTGCAGCAAACAGGATATGAAATGAGATACCAGACTATTAGCTTTGTGGAGAATTAGAAAAAGAGTTTGATTTGAGAATGTTGTGAAAGATACCTGTGTTCTGATTCTGTGCTAGCCATAGTGAATGAAGAAAGAAAGTAGTGGGGAGGTCATGAAGGTTGAAAAGGCAAAGGCTCATTAGATTCTTGTCTGTCAGCCTTGCTGAGCTAAAAGTGATGACTTCACACCCCTAAGAGAAAGATCATCTGACATTTCTGTTGGCACAGAGCAGTGATTAATTATACCATGATTGATTACCATGGAGAGGGAATCTGTACATGGTCTTTGACTAGAAATTACTAGACCCTGAATAGAAGAAGAGAAGAGTGAAGGACAGAACCCTTTAAAATAAGCAGGAAGCTGAAGGAGTTAGATGGGATTAGAACTAGGATTGTAGAATCTATGGGAGGATGGGATTTGAAGATGAGAGTGGTTTGACTTTTCAAGTAGTCAGCAGGTTGAGGAAATGAAGGTGAGCTTAAAATTTATAAATTAGTGAAAATCTGGGGAAGGAACTTTTAGTTTGAGAGCTACTTTCCCCAGAAAGGAAGAGAACTAAAGTTTAAAAAGGAGCCCATGCTAAAATTATTTGTGGAATACTTTTAATCCTTGAAATCCAGAGAACCAAATTCTTTGGAGCACTGCCATCTGGTGGCACCTGCCACAGTCACCTGCTCTCTTTTTCAATGCGGGTTGTCTTGGGCGAGCCTTGAAGGTCAAAGGGGTCATTTACCTGACAGTAATTTAATTCCGTTAAAGTTGTTCACATTTCATAACTGAACAATTCCCTGAAATTAGATAATCTCACAAATGCAAGTGATCTGTATGCATGGGGGTATGCATGGTTTCTGTGTAGCAGATAGCAAAATTCAAATGGCTTCGTTAATGCTTTAAACAGCAACAGATTTATTCTTTTCCCCTAATTCTGAGCTCTTCTGTGAAAGAATCTTGTTTGAATGCAACAAAGTCTGAAGACACCTACAGTTGTAGGATTTTATGGCAAGTCAGATCAATATCAAAGCAATAATTTTCTTGCTGTAAAGCCTTTCTTCCCTATGAAAAATATCCAAAGGCTTAAAAATACATTTTAGTTTTACATTTAAGTTTTTATTCATACCTGCAAAAAAAGAATGCCTTGAAGAGTAGGATGTATCAATTTATCAAGACTTAAACTTCCCAAGGTCAGCTACAATTCTCTCCTGAGACTGCATTAAGTTTAATTAATCAGATAGCACTCCTTTTTTTGCACTCCTGTTTTTGCACTGTTTCTGCACTCCTGTTTAATATTGGCATGCGTGCATGCTCTGCAGGAATCAGTTATCTGAGAGTTAAAAAGCTACTTTTTTAGCTATGAAAACCAGTATTAAGTTAAATATATTTTTAATAAGGTTATATATGATTGTCAAACTTATTTCTCGCAGATATCCTACAAAAATTTTAACAGGATTTGTAGCTTCATGTTATGTTTGTTAAGTTTCATTCATACAGGAATGCCTGCATCTCCCTGAGAATTCTGATTTAACATTTTTTCACTAGCAGATGGAAATAATATTAGATCAGCATTATTATTACCTGGAATTTTCCCTCCATGTTGTTTCCCTATTCCAGAAATGAAAAGTCTGATTGTTGTTTTACATTAATTCCCATTTGATTATTTAGGATAAACTCCTTGAATTAAAAACTATTTATGACAAAAGTGCCCTAAAAGAAGCCCAGCTCTTTTGCATTGTTGCCTCAAAAATCACTTTTAACCACCATGTTATACAGAATATTTTTATTGTTTTATACCTTTTTTTATCTTGCATCGCTTTACTTGACATTACTTTTGTGCAGACACACATCTTGAAAAGTCAGAACGACCTATGATGGGCTAACCCTGGCTGGATTCCAGGTGCCCAAAAAAGCTGTTTGATCCCTTTCCTTCTCAGCTGGGCAGGGGAGATAAAATGCAATGAAAGGTTCATGGGTTGAGATAAAGACAGGAAGGTATTTTTTTCCTCCATCTTCTTACATAAGTTATGCCAGAAGTTATCTGACTTTTGCTCATGGGGTTGGCCTTGGCCCGTGGTGGGTCCATCTTGGATCAGGCAGCATTGGCTCTGTCAGACCTGGAGAAAGCTTCTGGAAGCTTCCCACAGAAGTCACAGTGAAGCTGCTCTGCTACCAAAACTTTGCCACTAAAACCCAATAAAACACCAAATGTTTAGATATAAAGAAAAACTTGTCAGAAAAGTGCTTGTCAGAAGTTAGGATTTCAGTTGTTGTTTCTCTTTTCCTTAAGAAATAGGTAAAAACTTCCACTTGAAGAACAGAACCTTCCAGAAAGAGTTAACAAACTAGACCTGCTTCTCTCTCTCTCTTTTTTTTTTTTTTTTTTTTTTTTTTTTTTTTTTTTGTTCTGTGTAAGAACTACAACTTATGGGTTAGTACTACATTTTAAGAAATCCTTTTTAATGCCCAAATGCACTTCAGAAGGCATTTTGTTAGTTAAATCAAGTGGCTGGTTCACAGTTACGTTGAGACACCCTCTCCCCTCTGCCACTTACTCAATATTCTGATCATTTAAATAGATCTTTAAATAGAAAAACATTGCAATCAGCAGAAATGAGAATATGTAAGTTCTCTAAAATATACCTCTGACAGTGAAATTTCAACTAACAGAAGTACAACTCTTTAGTTCCATGAATGCACAAAAATCTTCATTACTAATTTAGTGTTTGCAGAAAAACTACCCCAAACCTGACTAGCACCAGTAGATGTCAGTGTTGGCATATTCCAATGCGTTGAGAAAAGTCAAGCGTGCCATTTAACATGCATTTTAATTTGCATACGTGTACAGATAGCTGAATATATGAAGCTGACTTTTTTCTTGTTCTGATAAATCATTGATGTTTTAATTTTTACTAAATAGTGCTTACTCTAAATCAAGCACCTTTCAGTTTCCCATGCTCTCTCAGAGTCTAATTAAAAACTTTTCAATATTATTCAATGCTTCATTTATTTTTAAATTTCTGTTAATTATTAGTAGGAAGTGTTTCCCCCCGTAAATTTCAGGCAGTTGCATTTTCATTTCTTTGACAAAGATGTTTTATGCCTGGTATTAAAGTGCAAATTAGTGAACTGGAAATCACAAAAAGATGGAGAAGTGATACATTTGTTTTTACAAATAATACTTGCTTAATAATTAATAACAATTAAATACCAGAGGATAACAGTTATTCTTTCATTTTTGATTTCATCAGGCAATTCAGGGATGGGGGCACAAAGTACAAGGGTGCATAATTCCATTCAGATACTGACTGTATTTCCATATAATACATGAGTACTTCTAAACATTATACAGAGTCCTTAGGTCTTTTCTTCTGGTTTCTGAATATGCCTCAATTCATTTTTTTTGTAAATGTCACTACCAGTGGCAAATATTTTTTATTTTAAAATGTAACTTTCCTACAGTGACTAGGGTTATTTAATTGAAATTTCTTGGGGCAATTTTTAGGGAAGATTGATTTTAGCTCTCTACAAGCTTCAAATAACTTTTAATTAATTTTTCAGATCCCTTTGTTTTGACACATATTCTGAGATATGCAGATCTTTCTTCCCATTAAATAATAATTTTTTTCCAACAGTGTAGTCCCCATGTCACTTTTTTTCCCTTTACAACTTTATATAAAATAGAATCCAGTCCATTAAAACTAAGGGAGTGTGATATATAAATCTTATTTCAAATGAACATCTAAATAAATTAAGTTTCCTTTTTTTAACAGACAAGTTTGATTAAAAGATCAGTCTCGGCTCTAGAGATGAACACTTTCAAAGATGAAACTACTTGAAATATATCAGCTAATTTCTAAATCAGCACGAAAGAATTGAAGGTTATGAAGAAATGGATAGCTGAGCCAGAGGCTGAGACGGAGATCAGGAAAAGCTCCCCTACCAAGCATCTCCTGAATCAAGCAGATGTATTTCTTTCTGGAGAAGAAAGAAAACAAAGAAATAAAAGAAAAGAACAAACCCTAGAAAATTAGAAGCTGTGGTTAAAAAATTAAGTCAAGCCTCAAAGATTCTTAAGAGGTGTTTTTTATTTAATGTGTATTGTCTTTTTAAAAAATAGATTTTAATTGCTAACTATATTACCTAATTACAGGTATTTTTATAATTTTTAATATTAAAACTTTTCAGAAATTAAGCAACAAAAGTTTATTTCTTTAGAAATCATATTTTTTTTTAATGCAGAGACAAAATACATAATGCTCAGTTATCTTTAGGACATTTAGTATGTACTGCGATTAAATTGGAAATAGCATTGCTTCATGACATGATGCAAAAAATTTTATCTAAGTATAAATGCGTTGTTAAAATGGTCAAACTTTTTCCTCTGAAAGATGAAGGGGAAAGTAATGCTCTTGCTAGTTTTTTCATATTACTGAAATACTTATGTTCTAAGTGTGACCTGCAAAAAAAATCCCCCGATATTACCTGGTTTTGTGTACAGTTACATGTGTATGTATTTTACTTACTCTGATTCTCAGGCCTGGTTCTTCAGGCCACTTTTCCATTCAGCTTTCCAGTTTTTCTGCTTTTAGGCACCTTTCAACAGATTTATTTTTATGAAAACTTACATGGTAAGTGTACTGTTATGGTGAGTTCTGGCTAAGAGAGGAGATCTTTTCCCAAGGTCTTGTTTTAGACTGGAATACTGCATGTTCCTTGCTGTTTAAAGCTTTCATATAAGCTTTTTGAAACCAAGGGGACTTCCCCTTTCTACTATTTTGCAATTTCTTATGACCCTGCTGTATTTTCTATTTAATTTTCCTTTTTTTTTTCCTAGAGGGACCCTTTTCTATAAAATATTATAAAATAAGTACATAGCATTGTAAATATATATCTGTGTAAAATATTTTCTCTCTATTCCCTTCTGCAATTACTTTTGTTTTAGAAGGGTTAATATTTTTTGTGTCAAAGATAATTTCTGTAGAAGACTTTTGTTTTTTTCACTTTGACATCTCAAAGCAGATATTGAAACTCAATATATCTGAAGGTTTTCATGTTGGATTTTTTTCCAGATAACCCTTTTGGAAATATCCTTGTAAATTCAAGAGCTTTTTTTCCCACCTCTGGGTGGTGCTGCTTCTGTTTCTATTCTCATGGCCTCTTCCTACTAACACTGGGATTTCTCTTTGATATATTCATCTGTCTGGGATTTATTATCATTTAACCAAGTTGGAAATTGTCCACTCTGAAATACTATCCTGTCTTAGGTTTAGCACAACCCTTGTAAACCTAAGTTAAAACCTTTGGAGAAAATAAGCAGACAACTGCGCGTAAGTGCTGAATGTTTGGGGGGTGTGAATAATGAACCAAAAAATTCTGCTTACTTGCAAGCTTCCATAATGGTTTTAATAAACATCCAAGAATTTAAAATATTGTCATTAACAAGAAAACTAACATTTTTTTATGTTTGCTGACTGGCAGATTGCAGTTTGATATTGTTAATATGTCTGAGAACCTTTAGTTAATTTTAGTGTATTTTCATTACATCTGGGTCTCTAGGGAGGCTTCCTATTCACAATAAATTCAATACCAAAGTGGTTTCAACCATCAAACATTATCAGAGCCCCAGCATCTCTTGTTTGTTAGTTTTTGAAAAGTTTGCAGAAGGGAGGGGATGGAATTCCAAAATAAACTTCTGCTTGCATGTGGATCAGCAGAATATGGAACTATTTCCTTGGTGAAATGTCTCCTCCCACTGGGATTACCTCTGAGGAGAAGGATACTGCATTACTGAAAGAACTGAGATCATGGACTTCCAAGAAGCAAATATAAAAGTAGAACTTTTTGATTCAATGCAGACTGTTCTTCAAAGTGCAACAGTTTGTAGTGAAAACTTAGAAAAAGAACTGAGAAGACTGACTGGGCTAACAGAAAAATAATACCTCTCAACTTTTCACTACTGCAGGCATGGAGAAATACAAAGAAACTTAGGCAAGTAAAGGTCAGCTGTGGATGGCTTGGAAGAAGTTTAATGCCAAGTTTTACTTTATCTAACAGTATTTTTAAAAATGAAATTAATTCTTTAATTCTTCAACAGGTGAAGAACTAGATGTAGGAAAGCTTATGATGAGTGGAATGCTTCTACTTTTTACCTTTGTATGACAGCATGATCCAAGTTGCTTCCCCAAAGAATGAAGATGCTCTTAATAAACTGTCTTTATTTACCCTAGTGGTCTCCAAGCACAATAATAATTCTCCAGAGACCCTTGCTCTGGATAAAATGCTTGTAAATGGACTTGGAGATAGGATAACAGAGAGGACAGAAAGGTTTTCATTTCAAGTTTTGCATTCCGCTGACAAAAGCGGAAAGAGGTATTTTCATTTTCTGTAAAAGCATAGCAAGCAAGTAAATTAAAAAGCCACGTATTTCCTGTTTATTATGACACTATTATTTGATGCTGCAGTTTTATACAATAATGCTATTGTTTTTCTATATATGTCTATTTTTTCAACACTTTTAAATTTCCTTTCTAATGTTACAATCCTGCTATTACTTCTGCCTAAACTTTGCACAACTAACAATAAATTATTAAAACAGAATAAAAACATTGATGAAAAAACAGAAATGAAAATAATATTTTTAAAGTCTATAATTAGAATGTGGAAGCCATAAAATCTTTCAAAGGAATTCTTTAAGCAATGGTTTAGTTGTCTGTGTTTGTGAAACCTGGATAGGGAAGTCTCATGTTGTACCTCTGTATGGCTTTTTCTTTAACATCTATATTACACACAGCAAGGGAAACCCACACTGGGACCCCAAAGTATTTTGCCCTGTAAATAATGTCCCACAGTTAAAGGTTAAACAACACTTCAGGTCTTAAACCAGCAGTCGGTGTTTGGAGGAGCAGTCCTCAGCAGCTGCTTTGGAGTTCATGACCCTCGCAATGGTGGGCTTGATAGTGCAAGATTGAACCAGATTTTTTATTGTTGATATTGCTGTTTTGCACTTTTAAATTATGCAAATAACATTTCTTATGCTAAAATGGAGTACTCCGTTCATTGGAATACTTGGAAATGTGCAGAGAAATGAAACAGTGGAGTACAAAGTGAGCTTGGCTTCAGGTTTTGGTTTCTGGATTCCTCTCACTTAACAGTTTCAAGAAACAATAAATTCTAAGGAGGTTCACAATGCATCCTGCAGTGAGATGCAGCCTTCAGATTTTACTCTATTTTCCTGAGTATGCCTTTACCTATTGTCTTACGGTGAAATTTTCACTCATGACATCATTTGTGTTAAGGCTTTTCTTAGGGAAAAAACTTTTATATTTCATGAGACTTATTTTAGTCTCATGTAGTAGTGCTTATTTTATGCAGTACTTACCTATTACCTTCCAGACTTCATAAATTATCTGACCAGAGAATTAACTATATTCAAAGAAACTCAGTTATTATTGTGTCTATTTTATTCACTCCAAGCTTTAGAAACAGAATGTCAAGGCACTGAAAGGCTAAAACTTCCACACTCTGGCGAAGTGGATCATTGACCAATGGGCCAATATCAACTGTCAAAATTACTTGCCATTGCTATTGCATATTTAAGTGAAAACACTATTGATTTTTCTCGTTAAGAGATATAAACAAAATTCCTATGCATTTTATGGATCCTAGAGATAGGTTATAGACCAAAATTTAAGAATTACTGGTGCAGCAGGACAGTCAGATTAGCATGTCTCTATATTCAGTTCCATAGGGCTGTTAAGTTTGTGTTATATGCACAATGAATATATGTGAAATAGCAACATTTGTCAAGAGAATTTTGTTAGGGAATGTTAAATACTTTCTACAGGAATTGTAACAGAGAAGTTTGAAATCTTATTGCTGTTTTTGCAGGCAGAGGTTAATTATTTCTTACTTTCAAATACAGGAATTTTGACTTCTAGAAACAAATAACCACTTTAAAGAAATCTTAAACCACAGCAGTTCCCAGTGGATTAACATTTTGTGCTGAATATTCTGGTAGCTTGAAGTCTGAGTCTGCGTATGTGTAAACATTAGTAAAATTTTTCAGATTTTTAGATTAAATAAAATTTTGTTTGTCAAGACATTGTCTTAAAAATGCTAAGTACCTTAAAAAATGTTCTTGTTTCCTGTGTACTATTATTAGCATATTTGAGAATTTCCTTCCGCAAAATGAATAAGTTATTTACTTATTTTATTTATAGGCTGTAAGCTTATAGTCACTGCTGTTTAATGCTTACTGACATAGACATCTGATTTATGTCTTTTGAGACAGAACTTTTGCTGCTTTGGGTAACCTGAATTTTACAAATTAATAGAGCAGAAATAAAGCTGGTAACTATCACTGATGTTTAAATTAAAGTTATTTTTTCCTTTGGGGCCTTTGGCCCCTAATTCACAAATGTTTTTGTATGCTTTTAACTTTACATTAGTTCTTTTATCCCTTATAAAGCAGACCTGGATCTTTAAAGTCTTGGGAAAGAAGTTGGATTTCTAAGGCAAAAATAAAGTGCTTCAGTGTGTTTTAAAGTAACCAAATAACTATATATATATATATACACACACACACATTTATATAACTATATATATATAAAAAGGAGGACTGAAGATGATAAAAGGGAGAGAAGCCTTTTTTTCTAAATGTTATGGAGACTTATTTATAAGAAAAAACATATATTTTCAAATAAAATACGTTTGAAAAAGTCAGTGCTATGGGAATAAATAAATAAATAACTTATATTACTCCTGCCAGCTAATTCAATACATTACAGAATGTCTACAAATTAGCAGCTACTAATGAGCTTGCATCACTAATTTTAATTTCATTTCAAAGCTAATGGAAATGAAATAGGCATGAAATGAAAAAGTAATTTTAAAAAATCTGAGAATAAAAGAATATATTATTTTTATGCTTGTTTAAGACTTTCAGTCACTAGAAATAATAAGAATAAGGAATAAGGAATAACAACATATATTACTGCATTTTTTTTCATGACAGGATTTTCAATATAACCCCCCTCAAAAAAGATGCACTTATGAAACAGAATATGTTC